CCCCTCCAGTCCACGCAGGTAAAGGGTTAAACTATGGTAATCTGTGCACGTAAAGGGTTAAACTATGGTGATAAACGCAGGTAAAGGGTTAACCTATGGTGATACACGCAGGTAAGGGGTTAAACTATGGTAATCTGTGCACGTAAAGGGTTAAACTACGGTGATAAACGCAGGTAAAGGGTTAAACTATGGTGATACACGCACGTAAAGGGTTAAACTATGGTGAGTCCACGCAGGTAAAGGGTTAAACTATGGTAATCTGTGCACGTAAAGGGTTCAACTATGGTGATACACGCACGTATAGGGTTAAACTATGGTGATACATGCACGTATAGGGTTAAACTATGGTGATACACGCACGTATAGGGTTAAACTATGGTGATACACGCAAGTAAAGGGTTAAACCATGGTGATACACACAGGTAAAGGGTTAAACTATGGTGATACACGCAGGTAAAGGGTTAAACTATGGTGCTACACACAGGTAAAGGGTTAAACTATGGTGATACACGCAGGTAAAGGGTTAAACTATGGTGATACACGCAGGTAAAGGGTTAAACTATGGTGATACACTCAGGTAAAGAGTTAAGGCTAAGATATGGTATTAATCTGTGCAGGTAAAGGGTTAAACTACAGTGATACGCGCAGGTAAACGGTTAAACTACGGTAATCCACACAGGTGAAGGGTTAAACTATGGTAATACACGCAGGTAGATGGTTAAACTACGGTAATCCACACAGGTAGATAGTTAAACTATGGTAATACACACAGGTAAATAGTTAAACTATGGTAATACATGCAGGTAGATAGTTAAACTATGTCTATTGTAATACACGCAGGTAAATAGTTAAACTATTGTAATCCACACATGTGAAGGGTTGTGTCAGCTTGATTGTACGCCACGTAAAGAGTCGAGTGATTCCCGCTGTTTCTACTATACACCAGAGCGATAAATAGTTAACAAAGAAATGTGCGCCCTCCTCACGCCTAGCTAATAGAACCCATGACGGAATTAATTTACCTGCAGTCATAGTCCCTCCACCAACTCGCACCCAACCGTCCTGACTGTCAACATCTCACTCCTTCACACGTCTGTGGTTTCTGCAATGGCCCCTGCGTTATTGTACCTGCCGTCCCCTCCCTCCCATGATCCTGACTGCTGACGTCTCACTCCCTCGCACGTCTGTGGTTTCTGCAATGGCCCCTGCGTTATTGTACATGCTGTCCCCTGCCACCCACCGTCCTGACTGCTGACGTCTGTCTCCCTCACTCATCATTTCTGATTGACGTCGGTGTTTCCGTGTAGGATGACTACGAGTAGCTGATGATGGTTAGCGTTAATGTACCTGCCGTCCCCTCCCTCCTATCGTGCTGACTGCTGACGTCTGTCTCCCTCACTCATTTCTGATTCATTGGCGTCCGTGTTTCCGTGTAGGATGACTACGAGTTGATGACGCGGTTGCTGCACTGCGCTAACTGGCCGCACCCGTGCTCGCCGATCAGCCAGGCGTTCGCTCTCGTCAGACTCGTGCAGGAGCGACACAAGAACCAGCAGGGAGGTCCCGTTACCGTCATCGACAAGTAAGCAAGACACGCGCGTGTGTGTGCGTGTGTGTGTGTGTGTGTGTGTGTGTGTGCGTGTGTGTANAAAGGGTTAAACTATGGTGATACACGCACGTAAAGGGTTAAACTAATGGTGATACACGCAGGTAAAGGGTTAAACTGTGGTGATACACGCAGGTAAAGGGTTAAACTATACTGCTGGCTGAATACACGCAGGTAAAGGGTTAAACTATGGTGATACACGCAGGTAAAGGGTTAAACTATGGTGATACAAGCAGGTAAAGGGTTAAACTATGGTGATACACGCAGGTAAAGGGTTAAACTATGGTGATAAACGCAGGTAAAGGGTTAAACTATGGTGATACATGCAGGTAAAGGGTTAAACTATGGGATACACGCAGGTAACGGGTTTCAACTACGGGCTACACGCAGCAATACGGTTTAAACTATGTGATACACGCAGGTAAAGGGTAAACTATGGTGATACACGCAGGTAAAGGTTAACCTACTGGCCCGGGGTGGGATACACCAGGTAAAAGGGTTAAGACTCGGTGGTGATACACTCAGGTAAGACCGCCCCTTAAGGCTTAAGCATAATGTATTAATCTGTCGGCAGGCTAAAGGGTATCTAACTAGCAGTGATACGCGCAGGTAAACGGTTAAACTCCGGAATCCACAAAGGTGAAGGGTTAAACTATGTAATACCGCAGGTCAGAATGCGTTACAACTACCGTAATCCACACAGAGTAGACTGTCCCTCTATGATAATACACACAGGTAAATAGTTAAACTATGGTAATACAGTGCCGTTAGATAGTTAAACTATGGCTAATTGTATAACGCAGGTAAATCTTAAACTATTGTAATCCACACTGTGAAGGGTTGTGTTCAGCTTGCTTTACGGCCACGTATACAGATCGAGTGAATTCCCGCATGTTCCTACTCTACCAGAGCGGGATAAATAGTTAACAAGAATGTGCGCCCTCCTCAACGCCTAGCTAATTAGAAACCATGACGGCATTAAATTTACACTGCATCACATGCCTCACTCAACTCGCACCCACTTTGGGGCTGGACTGTCCAACATCTCACTCCTCACAGGCGTACGTGGTGTCTGCAAGGGCCCTGCGTTATTGTACCTGCTGTCCCCTCCCACGACATGATCCTGTACTGCTGACGTCTCACTCCTGCATCAACGTCTTGGTTTTTGCAATGGCCCGCGTTATTGTACTGCCGGTCCCCTCCTCGGCATCGTGCTGAGCGCTGACGTTTCTGTTCTCCCTCGCGGCATTTCTGATTGACGTCGGTGTTTTGCCGTGTAGGATGACTACGAAGCAGCTGATTGGTAGCGTGTGTTGTATCTGCGTCCCTGCACGCGACCGTCCTGACTGCTGACGTCTGTCTCCTTTAGCTCCATCGTTTCTGATTGACGGTCGTGTTCCTGTTCGGATGAGCTAGAGCAGCTGATGGATTAGCGTTAATGTACTGTCGTCCGACTCCCCTCTCTCCCATCGTGGTGACTGCTGACGTCTGTCTCCCTCACTCATCGTTTCGTGATTTGACGTCGGTGTTTCGCTGTAGGATACTACGAGCAGCTTGATGGTTTCGTTCGAATGTACGTGGCGTCCCTCCACAGCATCATCGCTGACTGCTGACGCTCTGTCTCCCTCAACTCATCATTTCTGATTGACGTCGGTGTTATACCTGTAGGATGACTACGAGGCAGCTGCATGGCCCACTGCGTTATTGTATCTGCTGTCCCCTCCGTCCTCATCGTGCTGACTGCTTTTACGTTTCTCTCCCGTCAGCATTTCTCGCATTGACGTCGGTGTTTCCTGCTAGGATGACTACGAGCCAGCTGAGGCCCCTGCGTTATTCGTATCTGCTGTCGCCTCCCTCCACATCGTGCTGACTGTCTATCGTTTCTCCCTCACGCATTCTGATTGACGTCGGTGTTTACGCGTGTGTAGGATGACCTACGACAGCTGCAATGGTTAGCGTATTGTATCTGCGCGTCTCCCTGGCCACGGCACCGTCCTGACTCTGACGTCTGTCTCCTTACTCATCGTTTCTGATTGACGTCGGTGTTTCCTGTAGGATGACTACGAAGGCAGCTGATGTGTTACGTTAATGTACCTGCCGTCGCCTCCTCCCCATCGTGCTGACTGCTGACGTCTGTCTCCCTCCACTCATCATTTCTGATTGCACGTCGTGTTTCGGTGTAGGACGACCTACGAGCTGATGACGCGGTTTGCTGCACTGCGGCTAACTGGCCGCACCCGTGCTCGGCCGCCTCAGCCAGGCGTTGCGCTCTCGTCAGACTCGTGGCAGGAGCGACACAAAGACAGCAGGAGGTCCCGTTACCGTCATCGACAAGTAATGGCGAGACACGCGCGTAGTGTGTGGCGTGTGTGCGTGTGTGCGGTGTGTGTGTGTCGTGTGTGTGTGTGTGTGTGTGTGTGTGTGTGGGCGTGTGCGTGTGCAGTGTGCGTGTGCGTGTGCGTGTGCGTGTGCGTGTCGTGCTGCGTGTGCGTGCGCGTGCGCGGCCGCGCTGCGCAGTGCGCGTCGCGCGCAGCGCCGTGCGCGGCGCGTTGTGCCGTGTGCGCGTGCGCGCGTGGCGCGCGCTGCGCGTGTGCGCGTGTGCGCGTTGTGCCGTGGTGTGTGGTGTGGGGGGATGTGTGTGTGCATGTGTGTGTCTTTGGGCTTTGCGTGTGTGGTGTGTGTGGGGGGGGGGCAATATGTGTGTGTATGCGTGTGTGTGTGTGGGGGGATGTGTGTGATGTTGTGTATGTGTGCTTGTGTGTGTGTGATGTGTGTGTATGTATGTGTGTGTATGCGTGTGTGTGTGTGTGAGGGGATGTGTGTTGCATGTGGGGGGATGTGTTGTGTGCATGCGTGCCGTGCGTGCGTGTGCTGTGCGTGTGCGTGTGCGTGTGGGTGTGGCGTGCGCGTGTGCGCTTTGCGTGAGCGTACGTACGTGCGTGCGTGCGTGTGCGTGTGTGTGCGTGTGCGTGTGTGTGTGCGTGCGTGCGTATGCGTGTGCGTGTGATGTCTATCTATGTGACAAGTCGGGCTGTCGTCTGCGCGTGTGGGTGCGGTGTTCGCGGCGTGTGTGACACCTACGCGGGTGTCGCTGACGAACGTGTCGCTTGGTGTTGACGTCATTAATGTACAGTTGAATCTGTGTAGAATGGACGTGTCTATGAAAAAGGCTGCGAATGTGACAGTTACGAGCGTGTCGCTTGGGGTCGATGTTATTGACGTAGTGTCAAACCTGTGTAAGCTAACACCTCTGTAGATGAGGCACCCAGCTGTGAAGAACTATTTTGGCATTTGTTTAGAGTGACAGTTCTAAAGTGAGACCACCTCCTCAACCTCTATATAACAGTTATCTGCGTATATAAGTGCTCTTGTTTACCTTGCACGAACCTCACATGCAGCTATAACAGTAGCTCACCCTGTATTGACTAGCCGCCGTCGGCGGTCGGTGGCTGACGGCGGGTGATCATGACGTGGTACGTTGGGGCATTTACCCGCCCCTTGTTCACTAGGCATCGAGATATGCGTATAGCGTTATATAGCGAGATATAGCGAGATAGGTGTTTGTTACAGTGCCACTGTGTTGCGCATAGTTGAGTCATCGATCGCGCGACTGATCATCGCACGCTCTTGTGTTTGTGCTTCAGGTTCCGGTAGGCTGGGAGGGCGACGTGTTTGTTTTATTCACTCTGCTATTGTTGCCCGCGCGTGGTTGAGTCTTCGATCGCGTACTGACGCACGCTCTTGTGTTTGTGCTTCAGGTTCGGCGGCTGGGAGGCGAGTGTTTGTTACTCTGCTTGTGCGCGCAGTGGTTAGTCTATCGATCGCGTAACTGACGCAACGCTCTCTGTGTTTTGGTGCTTCAGGCGGTTTCGGCTGGTCTGGGGGCGAGCGGCGTCCTCTGCCGCCTCTCCACGCTCTGCGGACAGATGGACTACGACGACAACGTCGACGTCTACCAGGTCGCGAAGCTTCTACCACCTGCGCCGGCCTGGCGTCTGGTCGAATCAGGTAGGTAGGCGGGGCGGGGCCGACGATGCTGCGACGATTGCGCCGGGGCGGCGCTCGCGCTGCGAGATATGGGGTGTTGAAGATCCGTGCGGAAAAATTACTTTTTTTTTTTCAACCTGGGAGCTCTTTTTCAAAGTCTGCTGGGAAAAATAGCTCTGTTTAAATTTTTTACGGAGCTATTTTTGAGCCTCAGTCGAGCCGATTTTCGGAGGTAATTGACAGCCGAAGTCGCTCATCGCTCCCGTGTATTTTTACCCTGCGTGACATGGGAGGGGTATATAGCCATAGGATAGGTATATTGTAGATTGCTTGGGATATGCGACGCATGTTGCCTTGGACATTGTGGCGATAGGATGCGGTCGTAGCGCTATGCGTCGATGCACGCGGCCTTGCTGATGAGGGTCGGGTTGCCCGACGCCTGCGACGCAGCAGGGGACGACGATAGTGGATCGTAGGATAGCTCGGAGAATCACGATGTGCTTTCCTGAAGAATTTTCCCGATGTCGCAGTGTTTACGACTTCGGTTGATTGGTCGCCAGGTCGTAGGCTTAGAAGGTCGCGAGGTCGCGGTCTTTTGAAGGTCGTCGCGTTCACAGCGAAAGTTGCGTTTCTGTTTAAAATGATGACTGACGTCAGCGGGTGGAGTTAACCCCCCCCCTCCGTCTAGTCTTGTCTCATAGTTGTAGTGTAGGGTTACGAGGCAGGGTTACGAAGGAGTGAGGGACAAAGGTTAACGTGCGTCGACGAATGATGCGGATCGCGTTCTGGCATCTCGTCTCGTCTCGTTGTGACTCGTGATTTTGAAGGTCGAGAGGTCGCAGACTACGAAGGTCGCGATCACGAGCGAAAGTCGCGTGTCTGTTTACCAACAGCGACCAACGTCCGCCTGTGACCCACGTCGACGAGTCGACCCCCTTCCCTGTCTCGTCTCGTGTCTCGTAGTGACTCACGCGCATGTCTCGGCTGTTTCAGGACGACTACGCGTACTTGTACCGCGCGATGGAGAGCATATGCGACAGCAGCAGCGTGCAGCCGCCCGCGCCCCACCCCGTCGCCAACGGCCACCAGCACCACGGCAACAACCAGCAGCAGCAGCAGCACAGCAGCAGCAACCACCACCAGCACCACACCTACCACCCGATGACCACCATCACCGTGTCGCCGAACAGCACGCCGCGCTACGACACCATCGTCTAGGCCATCGTTCGGGCGCCCCCTGGCGGTGAACGGGACGCCGTTATCCGGCGCCCCCGGGCGTCGAACTTTGCCGCGCCATTATCTGGCGCCCCCCGGTGTTGAGCTTCATAGCACCACCTTGTGACGAACGGCTCGCCGCGTGACGGCATATTCGTCTAGCGCCCTCTGGTGTCGAACGTCGCGCCGGGCTACGACGTCGTCGCCTAGCGCCCCCTACTGGCAAGCTGGCCACCACCTCATCTGGAGCGACAGACTCGACAACGTCAAGTCGTTGAAATGACGGTGTGCAGTGGCGCCACCTAGAAGCGGTGTGGTCGAGCCGCGGTGAATGCGTGTGGGAGGTGGTGCGAGGGAGGTGGGGTAGGGGAAGGGGAGGGACACGTGAGGTCCACGCGAAACAGGTGCAATAGGTGTGACATCGTCGACTATCGCCATGTAACGAGACGACTCCGGTCGCGCGAGTTAGACGACGTTGTATCGCTACCTGAAGCTAATCAAAACTGCCGCTAGCGCTGGGCCGCGTGCGCGTGTTCTACGCTAATTAGGCGACCCCTCCCATCTGTAATTCCGCCTCCTTCCCCGACAACCAGGATAATCTTGTAGGGGTTTCCCTGGCAACCGCAACAACGACCCCCGCTCGCTCGCCGACCGACGCGGTCGATAAGCATGTTGTGTCGAGGCAGCAGGGTTTCGTGCGTGCACAGACAGATCTAGATACGAGGTGTGAGGTGGTTTACGGAGCGTTCGTGCGTGCGCATCAGCATCCGCGTAGTGCGGGCGCTCTCGCAGCGTGTGTGTCGGGACCCCGACGCACGGTCGCGTGCGTGCGCGCGAAGGAGAAAGGCTCCTAGATCGCGCGAGTCAAGTTGTGTTTTTACGCTGTGAATGACGTGATTGTGTCTAGCTCCGCTACGAAGGAGGGAGCAACGTTCTCTTGTCATCGTCGTCGGTTTTTTTTTTAACGCGGGCGAATTCTTTTGCGAAGCAGCTTTTTTATTGTTTGCGATTCCCGTTTGCGCTCGATGATTTGATTCGTCGGTTAGATTCGCCTGGTCGTTACTTGGCGGTTGGCGCGGCGGCGTCGCTTTTAGGTTCGATTTAGAGTTTTTTAACGTGCGGCGTCGTATCGGACGTGCCGCTGGCAACACGCCAACAACATGTGTCAGCACAATACACTGTTGATCGCCCGCCACCAGGTGTCAGCACAATACACTGTCGATCGCCCGCCACCAGGTGTCAGCAATATACACTGTCGATTGCCCGCCACCAGGGGTCATCACTGTCATTGCAGCGATGGCGCCTCGGCGTGAGCGTTTCGTTTGCTGATCTCATTCGACCTTGAACTCGTGACCTTGACCTTACGTGTGTTCCTTTCATCCCCAGCAACTTGTTGTTGGTCTGGTCGAAGATTCATTGTATAATACGTATTCTGTCTTCTCCCAATGTCTGACATTTCCTGTGTGTGTGTGCGTGCGTGCGTGCGTGTGCGAGTGTGTGTGTGTGTGTGTGTGTGCGTGCGTGTGTGCGTGCGTGCGTGCGTGCTTCTACCCCCTGCTCGCGTGTTCATTACCATGATCCCAGTTGTCTCGCATTTTCTCGTCGGTTCCCCGTTGTATGGTGCACCGACCACATGATCACACTGCAAGGTGCCAGAGTGACTCATCGTTCCTATAGCTTTGCTAGGAGATGACAGATTTATTCATTATTCCCACTGCGTTGCTAGGAGACTAACCAGCATTGTTCCCCTTCCTCGTGCGTGTGGCGTGTTGTTGTTTTCGGCCCCGCTTGGCGGCCTTTTTTAAAACTTTTGTATATTGTAATCTCTTTCGCTCTCACGTGTTTTAGTATTTAAAGTCTAGACGAGAACTTACGCGGCTGTACGACGTCTCGATACTCGTTTCTGCGCGCGCCAAGAGAGGGCAGCAGCGTCGCCGTTGCTACGCTGCTGCTCTCTGTGTGAGAGAAAAGAAGATTTCCGGCGTTCATCGGGAATTCGTCTGCGCGCGTGTTCGTGTTCGTTTTGCTCACGATTGTGAGAGAAATGCAAACGGAGAAGCCGTCTCTCTCTCTCTACGCAAAGAAAAGGCACGAAAGCCACTAGTCAAAGCGAGTCGTGTACAGCGCCGGTATATAGTGCGTAGCTTGAATGCGTCGCGATGCGAACTGTGTTCCTATAAGTCAGTATTAATGTTGTGCGAGATACGCCCCGCGCACACTGTCTATATTCGGGCGCGTGCGTGCGTGCGTGCGTGCGTGCGTGCGTGCGTGCGTGCGTGTATGTGCAAGCGGGGGAGTTTGGTGCAGGCTGAAGAAGCGTCGTTAGATTCGTGGTATCTCTTCTTTGCCGTGTTCGCAAACCCGCCCCGTTTCGCTCTCACTGTTTCCTAATAATTGTAAATTACGCGTTTTTAATTGTTCATTGGGCGCTGGTTAGTAAAGCATGGCTGGGGAGGGGTGGGAGGGGAGGGGGCATGTACGCTAGCGCGGGAGAGAACGAGAGGGTAGTTCTTTTATTTATTTCCGTCGTTCTCTCGATTGTCGGAGAAGAGGGAGAGGGGGGGGGGAGAGTGAAGATTAAACGGTAGGTGGAGCCAGTGGCTCTTGCACGATGCTCCGGTGTTTTCTTCTCTCGTTGTCTTACATACGCAGACGCGCGCGCGCGCGTCCTTTCGTCTGCTCCTCCGCGTGACGTCATTCTTACGTCATGTATACACGGCGCGTTACCGACGATATGTGTGTAGCTCCACCGTGCTGCCCTCTGTCGTGCGCATATTGCAAAAAACGCCGTTGCAGCGCGGTTCGGTGTGAGCGTGTGTTATAAATTATGCTGTAATAATGATAATATCAAGAGTAGATAATAGAGATCTCTATTATGTACTCTTGATAATATCAATGACGATGATGATGATAATAATGATAATATAGTAGTTAATGTTCACCGTACCCCCGAATTGTCTTCCTAATACTCCCCCGAGTAGACACACTGCCGCCGATCTACGCAATCATGCCTCATTTCCCACTCAGCTATATACACACATATATATATATATATATATATATATATATATACATATATATCAGGAGTTAATAAAGACAATGTCTTAATTTGTCTTTATTAACTCCTGATATATATATATATATATAGCGGTTAGTTCGTTTGCCGTTTGCGAATGTTTCGTTTGCTTTCAGTAGATGAAAGCAGTAGCAGTCGGAACACTGGAATTATTAAACACGCTGTGTAAATACCCACGTTGTGCTTCAGTATTTACCTTGTAAACTATAAATGAATAAAAAATGACGTTCAACTGACTTTTTGTCGGGTTTTGTCTATAATATAAATGCGTTCCTCTCCACCGGTATATGTAAACCTTGTGCATAATTTCATTCGACGTTGTATTGCCGGGAATTAAGATATCGTAAAGCAAGGGCGCGTCTGTTAATAAACGAGTGAATAAAAGTAAGATACGGTTGGTAGACGTCTTTCACATCTAGTCTGACCGCTCATCTCAATAAAATATTATTGCTTTTAGCAGATATTGGGCGTGCACGCACAGAGATCTCACACTATGAGCCATGCCACGTTACAGCGGGATGCTGCGGCTAAAGTGAAATGTTGACATCGGATTTTACTATGCACATCTACTTCGGGCATGCCCCTCTCTATTTTAGGCGCGTAAAATCGGCTGAAAGGTATTGCCTGGGGTGTCTAAGGCGACGAGCAAACTGAGTGTGCGCTATAATGCTCATGTACTTTATCACATAGCGGCAGAAGAATGGAGGGATGCTGCGGTCGAAGTGAAATGACAGGAAAATGGCGGGATGCTGAAGCAGATGAAGATATAAAGACAGTGGGCAGTTTTAATTGCTAAAGTTGTGTTGTGTGCATTGTTGTTTTGTATTAGTGATGCGCGCAGACAGACCTGACGCTATAAGCTGTGCGGCGTTGCAAGAATATAAAGACTCGAACAGTTAAAATTATTAAACTGAAGCATAACATTAGTAATTTTTCCTATCAAATTATCGTTAGTGCTCGCTTTAGTTTAATGACGAATTTCAACAGAATGCTACATTATGTGAGACACCCGCTCCGTCACGTGGCGCTCTGGGTCTGCCACCATCTTTGATCAGCGGGGATTAGCATGCGTGCAGGTGTGTTGTGTGTTCCTGTGGCATTTTGCATGGACAAACTTAATACATTTAACGTGAATCCCGATCTAATTAATCACGAAACAACGAGGAGCACATAACGTGCTGTACCGAGTGGATTACATGGATGCATTTGGTATGTACGTAGCTTTCTTTGCCGTATATCGTATTGTTGTTCAACTTGTTCTACGGTCCCTGCATTTCGGCATGTCTACTCGTACTCTTACATGTAGGTAAGATTACTTGTAACTCACTTCGCTGTCGAGGTTACGCTGGAAATATGTATCACATCCCTGTCATTCTATCTGCAACCTCTCCATCTCGAACTCTGACTAGATTCAACTTACATGTGGAATACTCTCCGAATTATGTACTATATATGATGTGTACATGTATGTGTACCCATAAAGAGTCGGAGACTTTGATGACCTGCGGGTTTTCACCACTTCTGTTCCCTATGTACTGTACCTTGTTATTCTTTCATTTGTGTCGTTGTGGTGTGTGGAAATACTAATAATGCACAATTAAACATTTTTTTGAATGTGAATTTAAATTTAAATTACACAAATATACAGTTTGCATAGAGCGTGAAGGCACGATGTACGGCGACAGCATATGCATGCGCTGGTGCGCCTTAAATAATACTACAAAAGCTTGTACTACTACTAAATGAATTGTAATACAACGTTTTACAATGTTGTATACACCGTACTAGCCCGCGCTTCACTCACGGAGCACAAGCAATAACTGTATCTTAGCGTTCACACAGGCAAAAAGCGCGCGATCTAAACACAATGCGCTTGCGTCACAGATGAGAATTACTTCTCGTGCTTAAAAAAATATCCGAATAACTACTTGGGACGCGTATTTTGTCGATGAGCCAGAGTTTATTACAGAGATTGATGTGCACTTGTATTGTTTAATTCGCGATTTGTTCGCTTGCATTGTTCGCTGTACAACGCTTTTTTTGCAAACGTCGGCAGATCGCAAGTAACTAAATACGGCTATTTCCTGAAGGCCGCGAAACAGCAGTGTGAACGCCGGTGTGGAGTAAGTCGCGAATTTCGTCGTCAGATTCAGGTAATCTCGCAAATACGGAATTACAATAATATCGGAGTCTCGTCTTGAACGTAAGCTATTGTATACAGCTAGATTTGAAATGCAAAACCTTGAGCGCGT